TAATGGGCCGTACAACATAATGCTGTTGGTTAATTGGAGTATTGGACAAATATGCTGGGCTTTGAGAATGAAGCAATAAGCCCAAGACAAGAACTATAGTCCGATTAATAATCCTCAACAGACAACAATTCCTTTGAATTTGACAGCACTGGTATTACATAATGAATTCCGAGGTGATTTTTTTATTCTGCTTAGTTGCATATCCTTTTTTTTTTGGTGCATACTTCTTGACTTCTTATATATCTGTAGCATCTTCCAGAACCATGACCTTTTATTTATTTATTATTATGTTAATCTAAATGTATTTTCTGCCTTTAATTAAGTTGTTTTTGAATTGTATATTAGTTTATAGAAAACGGTCATGGACCAAACTACCACATTGATCATGATTGAATAAACAACTAACCATATATTTTCTATATAATTTACCATATTGTGGGAAGGTATTGTACTTCTCTACAAATAACATTCGTTGCATTGTTTTCTTTTTCTTTTTCTTTTTTTTTTATTCTTTGACAAATATTCATTGCATGCTTTGTCTGAATAGAATTTAGTTTTTTAGTTCAGATGGCATAAAAAAAAGTGCAGCTCAAATGGTTAAATTATCAAAGTGTTAATAATAAATTGATAGGAGAGAAAATTCATTAAAAACACTACATAATTTTATAATATGAATTACACTTTTTTTTTGCCATCTGCAGTGGAGATTGTAGCACAATTTTGTAGTTTTAAATAGTAAACATATTGTTTTTTTTTTTAAAAATGAAGCATATTGTACTTTTAATCACTGGTGAAGACTTCATTTTCAAACACAAAGTACGCAATTGCCTTTCTTTTAAAAACCAGAAGTAGTGGGGGCCCCGATTGTGGGTTCCTATCTTCCATTAGTGGTTGGTGTGTGAATTTAATAAAATATATAGAATTTTGTGTAATTTTAAATTGGTTAGTTTTAAAGTTATAACATATTTTATTTTTATTTTTAAAAAAGAAACCCCAAAGGTAGTGCTCTTTTGACTTTTAATATGATTGAAAAAAAGGCAAATTAAGAAGCAGTAGCTTAGTTGGTAAGGGATTTCTTTTTTTCATTTTTTAAGGACAATAATGGATACATTTTCTGCTTTAATATGCCTAACAATATTCACTGATTCAATTATTAAAAAACTAAAATTTTTAAATTTACGATAGAAAAATTTTCAAAGATAAATTTTAATGACTAAACAAATATGTGTTGTTAAGTGTATTAAATCAGAAGATGTACCAATAATTTTTTATTTTTTTAATCAAAATTTGATTTTTTGAGAAGAATAATGAAAAAGTAAATATTTTATAAATTTCTTAATAACGTATATGGCTTATTTTTTCTGGATTTTTTAAATAAAATATAGAGAAGGGAAGGTCCCATAAACATGGTCTATCTATTTAATTGTTAAAGAAATTTTTTAATATGTACTCATATGTTAAGGTGTATTTATTACATATTTTTATCATTAATTTATATAAAAATAATTTTAATTTTATTAATCATTTCATTAAATTGTTTCACATAACATTAATATTAAAAATAAAGTTTATTTTTGTAATTTTCCATATAAATTAATAATAAACAAATAAATAAATACAAACTTAATTTGTACCCTTAAAAAACTCATAGTTAAATAATAAATGTAAGACTTTCTCAAACAATGGACCTCTGTCCTTTAACGCATGATATTTTAGTGCTTAATGACTTGAATTTCTATATGAGAAAGATATGTAAAGTAATTGGTTTAATTATTGAAAAAAAAAAAAGTGCTTTCCCACTTATATACTCAAAGATTGAGTTCTCATTCTCCCTCCCCATCTCTCTCTCCATGAATGTTCCAAACAATAGCCAAAAAGACTACCATGACATTTTATTAATGGCCAAAAAAAAGGTATATTTTCTTAAACTTGTAATTTGAGATTCACATAATAAAACTTAAAGTTTAAATTAAATCAGTAAGTGAAGAGAGTATGTTAAGTAAAAAAATCTTATATTGAAAAATTATTAAAAAAAGATAAATTAAATATCAAAAAAACTATTTTACTTATTGTTAATTTTTTTTTTTTTTTCAAGTTAAATGTAAATTCTGTTTTGAAACTTACATACCAATTTTTGTATATTAGAAAAAATTAGTTAGGGTGTTTCCTTAAACAATTGGTTAAGGTATTTTAAAAATATCAGTTTATAAGCTAATTTTAAATTATTAAAATAATAAATTTATATTCTACTATTTACTATCAATTAAAAATTATACTTATAAACAATGCTAACATGCAACCAAACCAAACCAATTGAAACACTCGTTTTCATGATTGATGACCTAGGCCTGCTGAGAGGAGGAGCGTTGGTCGTTGGTCGTCGGTCGCAATTTAAAAACGTGATTTTTAACGTCAAATCATTTTCATTGTCAACCCCACATGCCTGCCTTAATATCACTAAAGAATGGGAAAATTTAAGCTTTTTTTCAGGATAGAAAAATAGTGGATTAGGTAACTTGTTCTTTTCTTGTTCGCCAAAGGATTAGCTAGGTGACATGGAAAGAATGAAAACACCATTTCGTCGTAATTATAATTTCAATAATTTAGTCGTGAACGGCCAAAATGAGTTTAATCATGACTTGGTCAAATAAAGGCTCTGGCCATTTCATGTAAATTTAATAGAAGTGTTTGCGTAGAACTCTTATGAAAGTATAACTTTACCGGATAAATTTATTAATAATTAAGTATTATTTTGTATTTAGTTAAAAAAATATTTTAAAAAAATTTATAAGATTTAGGTTTTAGAAACAACATCTATAATATTATATAATATTATATCAATGAAATGTTGGTTGAATTGGTGCTTATTAATTTAAATTTTTAATTTGGAATCAAGATTAAATATTCAAATTTTTGTGTTGTCAAGTAGTTAACTTTTTAATTTATTAAAAAAAAATATTGTGTAGTGTTATATGTTTATAATTATAAATTTTTTTAATATAAAAAAGTATGTTAAAATAAAGTACAATGGATACTCCAAACCTATATACATTTTTAGTTGTTTCCAATTATAATGTATTATTAAATTAATAAATATATAATATTATATGTGAATTTCGAAATAAAAAATCAATTATATAATTATATTTGAACTATAAATTTATAATACCAAGTGTTAGGGATTATAACTTAAAAAAGGCTTTTTATTATTTTTCAGAAAATTTGGTAAACTGCTATATATAATTTTTTTTTTTTAATGAAAGCTGAACTGCTATTAAATAATATCATTTATGTCGGTGGTAATAGGCTTGAATTTTTTTGCTTCTAATTAGTTTAATCTACATGACTAGCAGAGCATTTAATCACAGCCGTCCGCTTGTAGATGGTTCAGATTAATACTCTCTCCATTTAACTTTAATTATACTAATTTCACTGTACGTCAACAACTTAAATAATTCCATAGTCATTTTTTTCTGTTAAAAGTAAGAGATTCTGATGAGTTCGAATCACATGGCATGCGGTTAAGGTGGGATGAGGGATAAGAAATGATTGTCCTTCATTGTGCAACCAAGATCAAAATATATATATACTAATTTCACTTTTTTAAAAATTTTTTAAACATTAATTTCAAATAAAAATTTAATAAACAAATAAATTACAATTGAATTTTTTTTTATATGTAATTCTTATTAGGTAATTTCATTTTAACAAAAGAAATTTCAATTGTTATTTATATATCGCCTTAAACTTTTATTAGAAATTAATGTTTAAAATGTCAAAAAATCAAATAAAACTAATTAAAGCAGAATGTAGGGAATAATATTATTACCACACCTTGAATTTCTAATACCATACTTTTTTTATCTTAATTGACTATTATATCTTAACTGAACCCCCAAATTCACCCATTAACAAAAAAAAAAAACAAATTGCATAACTAGATCATCAATTAAAATAAGTTATTCATTATTAAAAGTGTGATGTAATCAAATATCAGGTTTCCATTAAAAACATACTTAAGTGGTAAATGAATT